ATGCCAGTGAGCCATTAAGTGTGGAGATTCCTTATTGGTTGACTGCTGTATCTAGTTTATGCTAATTAAGATAAGCTGTGTGGAATGTATAAATACCCCTTCTGTCCTACAATAAATGGCTCCCACTCCTGCTGTATGGATCTACACAAGTTATTTGTCACCCCCCGGTTATTTTGCTACAGCTGTACTCTGGCAGATGGTGGCCCGTACGGGGAGCCCCGGGACACTCAGGGGTAAGTGACCAAAAAGAAAAAAAAAGCTGCCCGTCCATAGATAGGACGGGAGCAAATCTGCTTGTCCCTAGGCAGATAGGGCGAGAGGAAAATTGGCCATTTTGAGAAGATGGAGAAGATTGATACAGTATGTTTGTGTCTTGTTTTGTCTTGAAATGTTGTATTGTCTTTGTGACGAAAATATGGAAGGGGTGAGAAGTAAATTACTAAGGGAAGAAGGCACCCCAGTGGAACCAAGAATAGTTAGGGCATGTGTTGATAGAAGCCCAGGAACTCTAGTCAGAAAGAAAAAGAAAGTTCAGAGGAGGAAGGATTATCAAGAAAGAAATTGCAAAAGGCTATTACTAAATACTTTTCATTATTGGAGGGTGCATGAAGCCGTGCAGCAGCTGCCACGTGCACGAGCCGGTCATGGAACAGCAAGGACTTTCCAAGCAGCAGCAACCGGCTCTTCCCCACCTCCCCATCCGGGGAGCGGGACGCCACTTCGAGAGCCCAAATCCAGGCACAGTCTTGCAGGATCTTGCTCCCTGTGCCGGGAAGCAGTTTGAGACGGGAACTCTCCCCAGGGTCATCTGGGGCTGCCCAGGACGCTACAGCTGGGCGGAGGACGCACATGGCGTCCCTGAAGTTTGATGTTTCCAAGGCCAGTAACTACAGTGGTTCTCCCACACTGGAAGCTAATGAGTAATGAGCACTATATTAAGGCTTATTTCAAATGTAAAAAACCTTGAGATAATGTACTAAATTGTTCAGAAGGTTGTTTTCTTAGTAGAATGCTACAGGATTTTCTTTAGCCATCCGGAGTTCCTGCCTTCGTCCCAGTGCCGGGAAAGACCAAGGTGGAAGAATTTCCAGTGTTGCTGAGAACCGGAGGAGACTTCGGATTAAGCTAGCTGCCTGTAGAACTTACCTGGACTGTGATTTACGTGGACTGTGAGTTAATCTATTGAGACACTGCTTTACCTGGACTGAGACAACAAAGTGTAATCTAGAACAAATTGTAACGCGGTATCTTTGCTAACGGTGTCATTGCTGGTATAATTTTTCCAAGGGCTTCTTGCATGGAGCCATCAATTGGCTTGGTACTGTGGCATTTTGTATCCTCCCCTTCTGCTTGTAGCAGATTATTTATGGTGTTTGTGTAAAAACCACTATGGTCGTTATTTAAATTAAACAAAAGGGGGAAATGTTAGAGTCTGTAAACAAGTCAGGATGGCACCTGGCATTTTGCCAGAGAAATGTTAGGGTCTGTAAACAAGTCAAGATGGTGCCTGGCAAAATGCCAGAGGGAGTGGTTTGTGAAGTATCGCCAGGAGCCATTAAGTGTGGAGATTTCTTATTGGTTGACTGCTGTATCTAGTTTATGCTAATTAAGATAAGGTGTGTGGAATGTATAAATATCCCTCTGTTGTCCTACAATAAAGGGATCCCACTCCTGCTGTATCAATGTACACAAGTTGTACGTCACCCCCCCCACCCCCCCCACCCCACCCCCGGTTATTTTGCTGTAGCCGGACTGCGGCAAGAAACTAAAGAAAGAAAATATGAAGGAAACAAAATGACAACAAACAAAATTCTAGTCTCATTCTCATGTATTTATCTAAAAAAAGAACTATTTAAGGGTTGGGGATGTGGCTCAAGTGGTAATGCTCTCCCATGTGCGGGGCACTGGGTTCAATCCTCAGCGGCACCATATTTTAAAAAAAAGTGAAAAAAATAAAGATGTGTCCCCTGAAAACTAAAAAATAAATATTAAAAAATTCTCTCTCTCTCAAAAAAAAACTATTTAAAACATAGAAAATGGAAAATAGGCCATATTACTTTTAAAAAATAGCACAAAATATAGGGTTTATTTCAAGAATAAAATAAAGTTTAGCATTATAAATCTGCTGATGGAGGAGAATAGAGGAAAAACTATGGTCAGCTCCATAAATGCTGAGGAAGCATTTGCTAAAATATGACATTTATTCATCATGAACATTTTCAACAGCCTGGAATGACTTCATAAAGAGTAGACGGCAGCGCATGCTTGTAATCCCAAGTGACCAAAATACTTGTGCAAGTTTGGGAGTATTTTTAAAGTGCCAAGAGCAAGAGGACAGTGGCACTACTCTACTGAACATAACACTGTGGAGTATGGCTAATATCATGACATAGGGCAGGAAAATAGAACAGTACGAATTCAATAAGACAATTATCTTTGTTTCTGAAAATAATGTAATTGTCAATGAAAGAGTCCATAAGAATCTATAAAGAATTAAAACTAATAAAAACAACAGAGTTGATGGGTATGAGAGTACCATTTAAAAACTTATATAATGTCTTTCTACATGTTAGTGATAACCTATCTGTAATTAAAATAGAAAAGTCAGACATCATTCAAAACAGTGCTAAAGATTCAAAATAAAATAATAAATATTTCAGACATATGTAAATAAAACTTAAAGTTTACTGAAGTGTACCAAGGAATCCACTTACAGGAACAGATATACTTAACTATGTTTATGTTTTTTGAGAACTCAACTGCTAACATGTTCATACACTCTAAAATAATCTAAACATTGCATGTTATGTCAAAATACTCTATGGGATATTTGATAAAGCATTTGGCAAAAAAGTAAGGAAGAGAGGCAGTTCTTAGTTCATGTGAACACATATATACTTACGGTAATTAAACCATATGGCCTTGGTCCAGATATAGAAAGAACAGTCAGGCATTTCTTTTTTTGTTTGTTTTCTGGAAGCCTTTTTACTGACATTTTCTAATTGTGTATAGATAGTTGAGTCTTGGTTTCGGCATATTTGGAAATACGCCAGGGGTATGAATGTTAAAATATCCTAAGCTTACGTCACACAGTTAGCAAAAGGTTATCTGGTTGACTCCTCAAGTAGGTGAGTACCGTCAGTGTGGAAAAGGAGGGTTTCTTTCACGTATATGGTGTGCCAATGAGCTAGAAGACAAGCATTCCTTAAGATGAAGAGATAGACGAGTGGTGTGTGTACCTGCCATATGGAGAAAGGAACACCTGTGCCACACTACTACTGAGGGAAGAGGGAGAGGCAGAGAGAAAACTGGAAATCTCACTGTCTTGCGAATATTTTTGCTTTTTTGTCCTGTTGCTAAATCAATGCTGTAGATATGAGATAATGCCTGTTTTCAATGGTTAAAAATTGACACCTCTGGAGACAACCTGACTGGGTCAGACTGCCCTGTCATTTAACTGTACGACATTGGCAAGTTATTTTAAGCTTCACTTGGTATACTCGTGAGTAAAACTGGGATAACAGTGCACATGTGTGTTGTGAGACATAAACACATGGAAAGCAACTGAACTGTGTCTAGGTGTTAGTTTTTTTAAAAAGTACACAAACAAAAGCAATTTGTAAGAGTTGTCTGCTCTGTACATCCGCGGCTGCATTATATTCTTGGGCCCTGGGCACTTTTGCCTTCTTGGGCCCCTTCTATTAAAATAACAATTTTATCTAAAAAAAAAAAGGATTATATTTGAATGTTATTTATTCGAATGTTTTCTTCTACCTAAGATCTATTGTTGTTCTGATTTTAAAATAAATCAATGTTTTCGTGCGCTTCTAAAAGTACTGTGGGCCCCAGGCACTTTGTTTAGCGATGTCGTGTCAGAAGGCCACAGCTATTCACCGGGGGAAAACCGTCGGCGCACGCAGTCCTCCCGCAGGGGGCTGCGGCCGGCAAGGCGTCCTCGCAGTCTCAGCCGCGCAGAGGAGCGGCTTAGCCATACTCCTCCATCTTCAGATGTCTCCGTGAGGTTTTATCTGCCAGTCCCGACGACGGAGGGGCCAAACTCGGGAGACTTAGATGAAGACCGGAGACACGACCAGTAAACTAAAGCGAGTGGGAGCGAGGGCAACTAGGCTGCGTGATGACGCGCGAGGGTAACGGCGATCTGCCGCCGGGACGAGAGGGGCGTGGCGAGCCGGCCGTAAGACGGAACCGGCGTGGGGGGCGTGGCGAGCCGGCCGTAAGACGGAACCTGCGTGGGGGGCGTGGCGAGTCGGCCGTAAGACGGAACCGGCGTGGGGGGCGTGGTGAGACTGCCTCACGACAGAACCGGCGTGAGGGGCGTGGCGAGCCCGCGTACGACGGAACCCGCGTGGAGGGCGTGGCGAGCCGGCCGTAGGATAGGACTGATCCAGCTTGGAAGGAGAGGCGGGTCTGCGTTTTGCTGCCCGTGACCTTTAAAACAAAGTTATCCACGTGTTGTCCCCGGACCAGCAGCAGCAGTGTCACATGGATAATTTAGAATTACTTTCAAGTGTAACTTCAGAACTGACAATTAGGAGCGTGGTGGCGCCCCGCAATGTTTGTAGATCTTTCAGGTTATTTTGGTAAACATTCACGTTTTACACTGCTTTAAAGTATTGTTCCTATCAGGTACAGATGTGAGCTCTCTTGTGGCAGCTTAGCGAAACTAAGCTGTTTACCTTCAGAGTCATCACCAAAGCCCAAACAGTGCCTAAGGCCTACTACTACCTTGATGCTGGAAGATGGATAATAGCTAGATAGATGTGGAGAAAGGAGATTTTTGGAGAAATATTTGAATGAGCAAATGCAGAATTCCTATTCTCTACAGGTTTTCTTGTTTGTTTTACAGACTATCTGTCATCCTCTGACTTTCAGCAAATATAGTCCGTGATGGTGAATTACTAATAACTGAGTGTGTAACAGAAGTGAATTGTTTTTAGAAATCAAACGAAAAAGTAAAATGAGAATCTAAAACGTCTTGGTTAGTCTCTTCCGCTTAGGAAATGATCTCCTTTTGATGATTTATTGAGTGCTAAACCAGGATGGGTTGGATCTGGGTGGGGTATACACAGAAGTCAGTCATTCTCAATCAGATCAAACTTGTCATACTTCATATCTTCTATGGACAGATTCATGTTTTCGGTTACTTTATGCATTCGTTTCTTCTGTGCATTCTTATGTCTCCCCTGACTGAAGAAATAAAAGGTTGTATTTGTTAGTTGTCATTTTGCCATCAGCATTAATATTTACTATTTAAAGAAAAGGTTTTTTTTTTTTTTTTTAACATGTGCTTGCATAATGTTCTATCAGGAATTCCTATTCCAAAGTTACCTGCTTAATAATTATTAGCATCAACAAATAATAGCTCAAATCATGTTTTGTCAAGAGAAATCTCTGAATAATAGGGTTTTAGCTTAAAATCCCTCAACCACTCTTCTTGGGTAGGAATCTAATAGTTCAAAAGCTCATAATTCCTACCTTTAGTTTCCGAAATGATTTGGCCACTTTGATTTTCATTTTAACTAAGAAAAGTAAAATAATTGCTAACAATTGCAAAGGGCTTAATAAATGCCCACCACTGTTTTAAAAACCTTATTATTTTATCTCAATTCATCCTTAAGATAACTCTTAGAAGTGGTCTACACTTATCTTTTTTGTAGACATCAGAAAAGTGAGACCCTTTACTGTGTCACTCATTCAATTGAATCACTGTGACAATTCAACTTTATCCTCTATCCCTGTTGTTACATACCTATGTACACTTCAATCACAATTTATTATGTCAACTTGGAGATACTTTTTGAGAGTCTGTTGTATGAACCTTAAACATGATGAAGTTCCTACCCTTATGGATCTTGCAATCTTGAAAAGAGAAGTGTGAGGCAAACAATAAATCAATAAATTTGTGTTAGCTAACTATAATGAATAGGGAAAATAGAGAAATAATGAATAGGGAAGGTTAAGGATGGAGATATAAAGGTTCCAGTTTACATCTGATGGTTAGAAAAAGCCTCCCAGATGTGGTGCCATTTTAATGAATTCTCTCAACCCTAAACCCAAGAAATGTGGGGAGTAGTTCAGTTCTTACATGATAGGTATTATTCCCAGCAGAGACACCAACTATATGACAAGATTTACCAACACAGGTCACTTTTTTCTCTCTGCCTTTCTCCTTCCACATTCTGCTTTAGGCTTTTCTTTGGATTTCTTATCTCTTTCCCACCCTTTTATGGTTGGTTTGCTTTTTCCGTTCTTTTTTCTGAGTCCTTAATTTCTGCCACGTTTCTTTTTCTCCCCATATTCCTTCTTTCCTGAAAAATAGTGGGCTGGATATTTATAAAATACTGTTTGATATATATAAATTATACCGAAAAAATGTCAAACTTTTAAACAAATTTTGAAACAGTCTTTTTCTACAATTTTTATTCCCTATCCATGTAGCAAATTTCATGGTTTATGGGAGAAAAAAACTACTCAAGTTACTACTGCTCAGGTGAAAAAAAGTTGTTTTCGTTTTCCTTTTTCTATTTAGTAGCGAATGCTCATGCTACCAGAATGAAGTTCAAAAACTCCAAGCTTTACCCAAAGTTGATCTCTATTCCTGAATATTCATTTCTTTAGCAAGCATCCATAGGGGGGAGTTGGGGTGTATAAATCAAGCAGGATACTGCTAAGGGTGTTCACCTGCATGAAGTACAAAACATTCTTCACTGAGAAATCTTATAATTTCTGGGTCTACAATTGATCTAAATATGTAAAACAATGTTGCAAAATAATCAGAAAAATTAAATACTTGTGGAACTCAAGTTATGGCTAATTATATATATCTAATTAAAATGTTTGCTTTAAAAGCATAATTTTTCTCATAACTCAAGTTACTGTTGCTTATGTAAAGAAAAGGGTAGTAATGTGTAGTAAGGAAATAACACCACCAGAAGAGTGGTGTGGCCTTTGTCCTAGGCTACTAGGTGATCTCTAGGAATGTCAGGCCCATTAGCTAAAAGTATTTATATTGCCTGGGGCACTCAGCTAGACCTTGTAGTTCAAATATCTTATTTAGGGTTGAGGCTTTGGGCCTTACTTGTCCAGATCAGAGATCTTATTTAGGGTTGAGGCTTTGAACCTTGGTACATCTGCCTGATCTATGAGGAATGGAGACTAAGGTCAATCAGGGTATTAGTCATGTTGATATGATCAAGGCCATATGTCAAACCAAGGCTTATACTAGGTTTTCCTAGTTGTTAGTCCTTGTGTTGGTAATGCATTTGGAACATCTTACATTTTGCTCTTTGTTGCTTTTCTGATTTTAGTCTCTGTCCTTTTGCTGTAATATATGTAATATTGAGTATAATAGCTTTTACTGAGTCCTCTAATGATTTATCAAATCTAAGGATGGTTTTAGACACCCCTGAGCATTGGATTTGGTGTTAGATATAAGGGTAGTTTGGATTGTTTTAACTTTGCAGTGTGGCATAAGGATGTTAATAGTGCTAGATTTTGTCAAAAGTTGAGATGAATACTTTAATGAGTTTGGCAATCCTAATGGGAGCCCAAATTCATTCACTTCCTCTAGATTTCCAAATATGAGATTTTTTTTTTTTTTTTAGGACAAAGGAAGATGGAAGTAGTGATCTGTAAGTCTTTTTGAAGACTTTGGAAGTCAAAGACCACCTTATCTCTATCTCCTGTGCTAAGGCTGGTGTTGTGCCCAAAGACATTTCAATGGGTCTCTCAAGTAAACTGATTTTATAAGTAAACACTCTGTGAAAAACCGTTATACTACAGTTTGCCAGGAAATTTGGACACACATGAAGAATCTTTATAATTCTTTATGACTAAGATCTATTTTTGCTTTTTTCCCTTCCTTTTGCCTTTCTCAAACTCTTATTAATCTGTTCTTACATATTGAACTTAAAAAAAAAAAAATCAGTCTTTGCCTGGCGTGGTGGCATAGGCCCATAATCCCAGTGGCTCTGGAGGCTGAAACAGGAGGATTGTGAGTTCAAAGTCAGCCTTAGCAATGGAAAGGCGCTAAGCAACTCAGTGAGACCCTGTCTGTAAATAAAATACAACATAGGGCTGGGGATGTGGCACAGTGGTTGAGTGCCCCCGAATTCAATCTCTAGTAGTCCCCACAAAAAAAAAAAAAAAGAAAGAAAGAAAAAAAAAATCAGTCTTAAAATCTATGTTAAAAAAAATTACCAAAAATCTATATATTAAACAATTAGCTTTAATTTCTTGTCCAATTTTAAATTTATCAGACTATTTCCTGTTATTTTCATATTCCAAAGTACTGAGTTTTGTTTTTTTTTCAAAAGTTTTTTTTCCTAGAAAAGTTCAAACCTATTTGTTGAACATTCTAAAAACAATCACACACCAGATATTTGATTTACAGATTGAAGTTTGGGATTTTGCAGATGGATTAATTCAAAATATTTAATACTTTTTTTTTTTTAAAGTTCCTGCAACATGCTGGGCTAATATTTATAGTAAATACAAAGGCATTTTATCATCTACAGTCTCAGGGAAATGTCCCATCAAGAAAAACATCTGGGGATCTTATTGGCCTTTGTGGACGGTGGTCAACAGCAGCCTAAGTAGTAATTCTTAAAAGGTAATAAAGACCTGATAAAGATATCAGGTCCAGGTGACATTACAGCTGATTTCTATCTGGTCATTAAAGCACAAATACTTTTACAATTTCTGTACTTCAACCATAAAATGATGATGTGGTTTTAAAATATGTCAACCAGATCTTTTTCTACCCTTACCTTAAAAAAGTGGAACATAATTTCCCTTCTGAGTAAGCATTAGTTTTTGTGACTTGCTTACAATGAATAGAATGTTGCAGAATCATAGTGTATGACTTTTGAAACTTGGTTACAAAAGACTTGTTGATTATTTTTTCTATTTTTGAGGGATAACATCTGCCAAGCTTTAAAGATAGGCATACATACTAAGCTTTCTGGAGAGGTTGTGTGGCAAAGAACAGAGCTTTTGAGTAACAACCATCTGAAACTTGCCCAACATTCTGGCATGCCATCAAGGCTTTGAATGACCACTGTCCTAAGCTTACATGTAGACTTTAAGCTCAGGTGAGAACCTGAGCCATAACTAGGTATTCAGTTTTTGACCCACAGAAACTAAGAGATAGTAAATGTTAAATGTTCATTGATTTAAGCTGCTCAATTTTGGGATGATTTGTTACATAGCAACATGCTAATAGAAGGAGAGCCCCACAAGTTCATAGACATGTCATGATTCTAATGAAAAAGATGAAGATAAACCCAGAAATGAAAAATCAGGATGTTTTTATGTGTTCATAGAGATGGGAAAAAAAAATCCATGTCAAGTGTTAACAGAATTTATCTTGCCCATATTTAAGATAATACAACATGAACAAATAAGACTTGGCCTACAAATGCAAGTAGGGATCAACACTGGCATATCTACCTGTAATGTTTGGAGGAGGAAAAACATTATTTCATCAGATGCCAAAAAATGATGGCATAAATCATTCCTAACAAAAGGGTTAATGGAGTTGGAAGGAAAACTACATCAACACAATAAAATACGATACATATGTAGAAAAACATAAATTATGAACTATTAAAGCCAATTCCACAAGAAGGAGGAAAAAGAGGACTCTTAATGTTTCTAATGTGGAATTTTTTTTTTTTTTAATATTGTTTTTGACTGTAGTTGACATAGGATAAAAGCAACTAACAAAATAGTTACTGGAAAGAATACTAAATAGTTTTATTTGCTCTCAATATCAAATGAAATAAAAAGCATTCCATTAAATATTGATTGAAATTAGCAAAATTTGGTAAAGTTAGCTAGATAGAAAATACACAAATAACCCATTGCTTAATAATCTTACATGCAGAATTTCAAACAAGCTTTAGTTTGATGCCATCTGTCAGTACGGAACAGAAGACACTTAAGAACGTCAATATTATATTTGTTAAGGATTTAAAAGTTTAATTTACAGATCACAGTGACCTCTTTTTTGTTATACTATTTTTCATTTCATTTATTTTTAATTATAATCGAATCCATCAATTCTAGAATTGTCATCTTTTAAATCTTACATCTGTATCATTCTGATACTACAGTATTATGATTACATAACAATAATTTATATTTGCTTTTCAAACATGATCAGTTATACATAAATTACAAGCATGTCAGATCATTTTGTTACTAAATATAGATTTTTTAAAAAATTACTTTTACATTTTTCTCTATGCACTCTGGATAATTACTTTAGATAACTTTATATAACCTTGATGCACAGTTCATTAAATTCCTTTAGTTGGGTTCAATGAGCTTTTAAACCCATCCATTAAACTTTTAGTTTTAATTCTAACTAATTGTATATTTGTTAATTTATTTTCTAAAATTCCTATTTGGTTCTTTTTTCAATTCTGTTATCTTTGTATTTTTTTTTAATTCCTTACATGTTTGAAATCTTTTTTAAAAGACATTAAAGCTTTTTTTTTGTTTTTTTAATATATGAAAGTTTCTGCTTATTTCACCTTTTACTCCCCCCCCCCTCCCGTGGGAATTTGTTGAGGATTAAAATTAATCTTGTTCCTCCAAAGATGATTTGTATTTTCTCTACCACATGCTCAGGAGCATAAAACCAGCCTAGCTATTCTGTCCCCAATTTAAATTCTCAGTCCAGCTCCACTGACTACCTGGTGGGCATGCTGAGAATAAGCTGGCAAGGCTGGGATGGCCTGCCTTGGTGGGAGGATGGATTCTGCTGAGTGTGGAGTCTGGAGCCGACTTTCCACCTTGCAGTGGTCTATAGTGGCCTTATGTACATTTGACAGGGAACGCTTCCATTCCTTTTCCTACCTGAGCATAATGGGGTCCACTTGATGCTTTCAGTATAAACAGTCCAGGTGGCCGATTTTAAAACTGACTTTTCCCCTGCTTTTCTTCTTCCCTTGCTCTAACAGCCTAGGAAATAAGACTAACATTTTTGTGATCACAGGCTAAGCTCTGTCCTTCACTGCCCTGAAGAATGTCACTGCCTGAAAAAATAATAAAAAAAAAAAAAAAAAAAAAAAAAAAAAACTCCAAACCTGGGAATTGGAGCAAAGGCTCTCTCAAGGACACCTGATGGTTGATCATTTTCTTTACTGATAATATGTCTCCAGGCTGTGGTATTAACTCCTTTGTTATTGTTATTAGATGAGCTAGGCTTTTGTTTGGTGTCTGTTTCCTAGGTGATTTCTTACAAGACTCCACACCATGATTAAGCTCCATACATCATCTTAAAAAGCAAAGCCCAGCTGGGTGCAGTGGTCAAGCCTGTAATCCCAGAGGCTCAGAAGGCTGAGGCAGAATTGTTAGTTCAAAGCCAGCCTCTGCAATGGTAAGGTGCCAAGCAATTCAGTGAGAGCCAGTTTCTACATAAAATACAAAATATGGCTGGGGATGTGACTCAGTGGTTGAGTGCCCCTGAATTCGATCCCTGGTACCAAAAGGAAAAAAAAAAAAGCAAAGCCCAGATTTGTGTGAAAACCCTGCTCAGGGTTTCACTAGGGCTATGTCCCTGGGTCCGAGTTTGTTACTTTCATAGCTAATTTTCATTGCTTTTTAAAAAATATATTTTTTAAAGATTTTCAATATTCATCCAAGTACTAAGCTTGCCATATAATACAAAATCTATCCCAAATATTGATAAATACATATTTGTTTATGAGGGTGTGAGGACATTAGTTTCTAGGTTCATACTTCCCTCTGCCAATACCATTCTCCTAAATTCTCTATCCCAGAAGGCTCTTGACTCCAAGCTCACCTCACCCATCTCATACTCCCTGTGCCCTTGCATCTCCACTTTCCAAACACTTGGGGACACCCAGGAAAGTGTGAACCATACTGAAAGTTACTTCTGCCCGTCAGCAGTAAGGCACCTATCAGGTTGACTGTGGGGATTCCCCTGTCATCCAGAGGCCTTTTAAACTGCTGTCAAAAGGCAAACTAAGTGATTTTCTGTGAAGGTATAGTACTGACAACTTAAAAGTATTTCAGTGACTTTCTCTTTTGATCTCCCTGTGCACCTTTTGGAGAGAAGATCCCCTTCTTGCTCCAGCACTCCCCGGAAACCTCCGTATTGTAAGATTACTTGACTACTCAAGTAATCAGGCCTTTTTCAGAGTCAGGTTATCTAGATGGAAAGGTTTTAAGAAAAATGGAGAGGAGGTATGCTCTGAGCAGGAGGAGGTCCTCAGAGCATAGTTTTCTGTGGTCCGGGCAGCAAGCAGTCATCACCGAGTCCTGGATCACTTCATGGTCAAATTGGAGAACTTTGCACCGAAACGGAGAGCTGCACATTTAGTGTGACTTTCCGTTCTTATTAGTGTACAGCTATGTGATTGTTAACTATACTGAACCTGTACGTGCACAGAGTACTTAATTTCTAGTACCCACTGTTACTCCTCGCATTTCCTATGCAGCACTGATGTAACATCAAAGATCAGTAAACCAGCTTTCAATCTAGTACGAAAAATGCAATAATTGTTTGGACTTTAAGAATTACAACTCATTTGTGAAAATCATGCGTGGCTCTTAAAAGAGCCTTTGGGATTAAGTGTAAAAACGCTTACTTGGCAAGTTCACTTGGAGCTGGTGTACTTGGTGACCGCCTTAGTGCCCTCCGACACGGCGTGCTTGGCCAGCTCCCCGGGCAGCAGCAGGCGCACGGCCGTCTGGATCTCCCGGGACGTGATGGTCGAGCGCTTGTTGTAGTGCGCCAGGCGCGAGGCCTCGCCGGCGATGCGCTCGAAGATGTCGTTCACGAACGAGTTCATGATGCCCATGGCCTTGGACGAGATGCCGGTGTCGGGGTGCACCTGCTTGAGCACCTTGTACACGTAGACCGAGTAGCTCTCCTTGCGGCTGCGCTTGCGCTTCTTGCCGTCCTTCTTCTGCGCCTTGGTCACCGCCTTCTTGGAGCCCTTCTTCGGGGCAGGAGCAGACTTCGTGGGCTCAGGCATTACAGCGTTCAAAAAGCAAAAACCAGAAGACTGATGCAAATACCTGGGAAAATAATCACCCCCCACTAGGTTACATGCATTTATAGATGCGGTATTCAAATGAGGTTAATAAGTTTTCCTCTACGATTGGATTAATTCTAGTGTGTCGTCACAAATGCGAATGTTAACGACACTGAAATTCTTTCGTTCCATTGGCTATTGCGTTACTTCACTTTTACCCAATCAGAAAGCCCAAAGTGGATACCCAAAGCTACTATAAATAGGTCTCTTCCAGCACAATCGTTCGTATTTCTCAGAGCAGAGAACTTTTCTTGTTTACAGTCACGTTAAGCTTGTGGGCAAGTCAATTTCCTAAGTCGCCCAGGAGTCTGGAAAGAAGACAGCAAATGAGTTAGGCACGCACATCCGCAGCCCTCACGCAGGTTCAACATTGGCAACCTCAGCGTTGTGCTCAACTGCGGATAGCCCGCACTTCCTCCAGCCATCAGCTCGACCCCACGGTGCCACCCTTCGAAGGCACCGAGACCTTCTAAGCTCTTTCTCCCTAAGTCCCCAAACCGTAAAGCCTCCACCTACTTATTAAGCAAGAAGAGCCTCCTGAGAAACCCACCTCCCTCTCGGCCTTCCTTCTGGAGCCCCGCCTTCTCAGCGGGGTCCCACCCTGACCACGCCCCCAAGTGTGCAACAGCTCTTTTACTGAGATGTGTGGGTGGCTCTGAAAAGAGCCTTTGGGTTGTATCGAGGTTCTCAGCAGTTGCCCGAAGAAACTTCCTATTTCTTCTTGGCTGCCGCCTTCTTTGGCTTGGCTGCCTTGGGCTTGGCGGTCTTTGGTTTAGCCGCTTTGGGCTTCACCGCCTTGGCCTTCGCCGGGCTCTTGGGCGCCTTCTTCGGCTTGGCCGCTTTCGCCTTCTTGGGGCTCTTTGCTTTTTTGGCTCCTGCAGCTGCGGCCGGCTTCTTGGCCTTCTTTGGGGTCTTCTTCGCGGTCTTCTTGGGGGTAGCCGTGCCTGTAGCCTTCTTGGGCTTTTTGGCAGCTCCGGCGGGCTTCTTCGCCTTGGCCGCCCCTGCCTTCTTGGCCTTGGGCTTGGCTTCCCCGGAGGCCGCCTTCTTGTTGAGCTTGAAGGAGCCGGAGGCGCCGGTGCCCTTGGTCTGCACCAGGGTGCCCTTGCTCACCAGGCTCTTGAGGCCCAGCTTGATGCGGCTGTTGTTCTTCTCCACGTCGTAGCCGGCGGCCGCCAGCGCCTTCTTGAGCGCAGCCAGGGACACGCCGCTGCGCTCCTTGGAGGCGGCCACGGCCTTGGTGATGAGCTCGGACACCGGGGGCCCGGAAGCCTTGCGCTTGGCAGCGCCTGCGGACTTGCGGGCCTTCTTCTTCACCGGCGTCTTCTCGGCGGGGGCCGGAGCGGCGGGCGCGGCGGGCGCAGTCTCGGACATGTTGAAGGCGGGCGTAGGAAGAGCAATTCGAGCCGGAAGCAGAGGCACTGGCCGGGACTCGGGCCGCGGCGCTGCGCCCGCCCGTTTATATAGGGCGGAGCTGCGCCGTGATTGGTGCGCTGTCCAGCCCGCCTCGCTGGCACTCGCAGAGTGTCCTCTCGGATCCAGAGTTGTGTTTGTTACACCTCAAAAAAAGCCAAAAATATCAAAATTATCTACATCGAATTGTCCGATTTTTCTCAGATAATGATCCCCGAAGCCTCAGCCTTCATGCAGATCTCAAATAATGCGGAAAGCACAAAGCCTTGTGCCAAAAACTAGCAATATTTCCCGCCGTGCTCTGCAAATTTCAACTCGGAGAAACAAAACTTTCTATTTTCTTCTTAAATTATAAACTGATCTTTAACGGTGGAGTTTTCTGACCTCCCAAATATGATTCTTCAAGTGGTTAGCTTCTTGTGTATCCAAAAAGCATGCCTCTGGCATTAAGATTTTTATTACAAATCTGCACTTAAGTGAGGGAAGTAACACAGGCTCCTCGGAGAGTCCTGCCTATTGAGCCGAGGGCATTTGAGTTCATCAAACTGGTTTAGTTTAACGCCAAACAAGTTATTGCCCATTTGGGGTTAAATTTTGGACCCCTGTGACATCAATCTAAGTAGCCATAGCTTTATTTCTGTCCGTTGCACCAGGGTTTTAAAATAATTCCTTAGGATAATTCTGTTCTTTTCTGCTCCCAAGGGTTGGGGGCGGGGCTGTTGCTTCTCTCTTCCTCTGGACAACTGTTCCATGTATTGAAATACCTTGAATTCGGGGTATTTGGGAAACAGGGGAGAGTCCAAAACACACCCAGGGTACATGCATGAAAAAGGATTAATTTTCAAATAGCACACAAAGGACGTCAATAAAGTCGCTGAGGTGGAGACGCATTGCACTTGGAAGAATCTGTCTTAAACTTGCTCACTTCTTTTGGCATATATTTCTGAATCAAATTGTAATATACTAGTTAGAACTAAAATCCAAGCATTGATCATAAGAGAAAAATAAACTAGAAGAGTAGATTGGAACATCATTATTTCTACTGTTAGAGAAACCTAGACCCTGTTATTACTGAATATCTGATGAATGACTACCATATATGGATTCAATCTTAGTCAAGTTTATGGCCTAATGCTTCCCAGATATCCTTGAAAGAAAGTAACACATGGGGACTGAATGACAAGTTCAATTTTCAATCTCAGAAACAGAGCTTTAAGAAGTTATATAAGCTAACTTGTTACCTTCCAAAGACATCCTTTGGAAGAGGCTGAGGCAGGAGGATCATGAGTTTGAGGCCAGCCTGGGCAACATAGACCCTGTTTCTAAATACATAAGTAAATAAATGAATGAGTAAAATTTAAAAATACAAGGGAGAAAAATAAAATGAAAGAGAATAAAGGTATAAAACAGATGAGAGATTGTGACTATGTGGCATTTGGTGGCAGAAGGATGGGATGATGCCCATTTTAAAATGACAACTAAAACTACTCCTGTACATGATGGAAACCTGCAGAATTCGTTGAAATGTGCTCTCAGATGCCTTTTTTTTATTGTCTGTATATGCACTGTTTCAAGCTTGGACAGACTTAAACTCCATGATCTTTCAAATCGCCATAGCTTCTTTCTCGTGGTGCAGTGAGTTTTCTCATGAATGAACTACTTGACTAATGAAGAAGGCATTGAAGATTTGTCACTATTGAATCAAGTATTTATTTGAGAGCTTTAGGTGATGAAATAGGAGCAATAGCAGAAGATTCACTTTCTCATTGATCTGCCAACTAGACTGTTATTTCAAAATTTCATATGGACCAGAAGTATCTTTATCCATGTGTTTTAAATATAAATTCCAAGGCCTTATTCCAAATGATTCTGATATAATAAATCTCTATTTAGCAAGTTTCTTATGCCACTCACATGCTCAATCAAGTTTCAAGATCATTGCTGCTCTCTGGAGTTGACTGACAGGGCAAAAGTATTTCCTGTTATTGAGTATTTTTGTGGATTGCTGGGCTTGCCTGTGAAACCTCAGAAGAGATGCCAAAGCTGGATATGACCACATGTAGAAAAGGTGAGGACAACAATCCAACCCTGATTTGTTTGAATTCACACCTGTGTAGCCTCTATTGTGGGTTTAAGAAGGAGAAGGAAGAGTAAAATTAAGTGTCTTTTGGTTCCTTACTTTCCCTGCACAGAGGGTAGCCAGAACTTAGTCTGCCTATGGATTGCTTAAATTCCTTAGTACAGCACCTCCACTCCTTATCTCACTTAGTAGCTACCACATGTGTGCTTCCTGCAGACTCTTACTGAATAAGCACAGCAGTCTTCTTCTATAGACACCAGAGCCATTTTACCCCGGAGGAAAAGGACTTGCAAAGGTCAAAAATTTCTCCAGGGAAGGTGACTGGTAAAAAGTACCACCCAAATTCTAGCTTATATTTGTCTGACTTTGAAGCATGGCCTCATAGTAAAGGTTTGAACAAGCATTAAAAATTATGCAAGTTTTGATCAAGCATTAAAATTATGAAATTGATGTAATAGTGCAAGGCCCAATGGTTGCTTTTTTTTTAAAAAATTAATTAGAATACAATAGAAGATACCAAAGAACAAAGGATGTAGTTTGTGTATATATACAACTATTTGGGTGCTGGGCTCCTCACATATACAGATTTTCCTATCATTAGTCTCATGTGTCCAGGATTCAGGAGAATAAAAGGCCAAGTAACTGTGGAAAACAATATTGATTGGATATTGTAAGGTTGAAGACAAAAAAGTGTGTCCTTCTTATGTGATCTCTTGAGCTTTCATAATCATGAAATATTCTCAAGTGTGTTATTCTTTAATGAGCTAATAAAGTAATTTCCTATTACTGATATGTTTAAGCTTCTAAGAAACCCTGAGTGATGGAAATGGGGGACACTGATCATTTTCATTTTGGGCAAAGAAGTGACTATATTCAAAGAAGTTATATGATTTGTAGAAAAGTTGAAAAGAAAGAGCTTTGCTTAGTTCCCTTTACTTTACAATCGGGTTTCTAAGTATTTAATCCTGGAATTTCTATTTTTATACGATGTTACCATGGCTGTTTTTATTAAAGGCAGAGTTTGGGCAGAGGTGTTTTATATTAGAAAAAATGCTGACATATTATCTTTAGATATTGTTTGTCTTTTTATTTAAATCAACAACTAAGACAGGGTTGCATCCCGGGATTATTCATCGCACACTTTTTGGAATCATGAATTATTGGAAGTGATCTTAATGTCCATGCAAAAGAGAGTGGTTGAATTACATTCACATAGTCGGGGAACATGTAGTTGCAAAAGGACTGAGGAAGCTCTCTGTGAATCAGAACAGAGTCGAGTCTGGGAAACACATTTAAGCAAAAAAAGGAAAAGTACACAAGAATGCCCATAGCTTGATACTCCTGGTGGGAGAAAGAAGGGGATATCAGAGTAAATTTCTGCTCAGTTTAAAAGAGAGTGCTCACCTATAGGAAGTGAAAGAAAAAGAGGTGGAAAGAAGGAGCAATACAAAGACACACAGCAAGGATGGGGGCGGTGACTTTTCCTTTTTTATTTATTTATTTTTTTAGTAGACCTTTATATAACACTGACCCTTGATGTGCTAGTGATGTTTTACACATGGACAAAATAAACTATTACACAAACTGTTCAAATGAATAAGGAGCCAAGTGTGGTCCACACCTGTAGGCCCAGCCACTTGGGAGGCTATGGCAGGAGGAGGGCTGGGGTCCAGGAGTTCTAGGCTCCTGACAAATCAGGGAGACCTTATCTCTAAAAAAAAATAAAAACCAATTGAACCTGCAGGGTGGCGCACTAGAGTAATTCCAGTGATTTGGGAGGTTGAGGCAGGGGGATGGCAAACTCAAGGCCAGCCTGGACAATTTAGCCTGTCTCTAAATAAATAAATAAATACATACATACATAAATAAATAAAAAGAGCTGGAGTTAGAGCACAGCAGTAGACCATACCTAGGATCAACTGTCAGTACCACGAAACAAACAAAAAACCCAGACCCGAACAACAATAAAACAAACAAAAAAGCCAGTAAAAATCAGAGGGGAAATACAAAATAGAATACAAGCACTAAAAAATGAACCGAACTATAAAATTAACAACATAGTAATACTGAAAGGATTCTGGAAAATAAAAGCCTAGGTAACTGTGGAAAACAATATTGATTGGATATTGTGAGGTTGAAGACAGAAAAGAAACACACATTCATGTACATATATATATTGTAATCTAGTAAAAGCTTCCTTCAGGGATGTGCGCTAACCATTTTGAAACTATGTGTACATTAGAACTGAACAAGTTAGTACAATTATCTATGTGTGGATAGTGAGTTCCCGTGTTCTCACCGACAGAGATATAGGGGTATTCTGCTGAACAAACCTTATGGTCCTGAATTAGTATCAGAAGTATTAATATCAGCTCATATTTAAAAGTATCTGTACAGTTTTATAGAGGCTAGATCTGGGAGTGTATTCTGGTGGGGCAGTACTTATGCATATCTCTTTGTATGTAAATAGTTAAACCCAGTAGCTATTAACATACTGGCACACCCAGTCTTTGGTTCTTAAGCAGGATTCACCTGGAAAAGTAACCCTGAATTCCTTAGAGAAGCAGTTTTTCACAAGGCCAATGTAGGGAAAATACAGGATGGGCTTGGAACATCTTATGGTGTCAGAAAAGAAGAGATGGTTTACATTTCCTAAGGAAATTTGTTGGGAAAGCAGGTAGCCAGTCTCGAGGACTCCTAATGCACAAAGCTGGTAGTATTTAAACAACAAAATAAAAAGTGATAGTAATGGATTTAACTAATAGAATTTTAAAAAATCCATAACTAATTAAATGAGATAACTCTTCCATGTAGTATAATTCTAATTAATAAATTTGGAAGGAAAGAGGGAAATAGAAAATGACTGGTAGGTAAACACTATGGTGATCTTACAGAAAAAAAAAATCCACTAATGGATGGTAAAATCAGAGGGCGAAA